TTATTGTTTCTTTTTATCACCTTTTTAATCTATTTTAACGTTTGATGAATAACTTGGCCCATGCCTTGGAGACTTTACCTTTGCTATTTCGCGTATTTGTATGCTTTGAAGTGTGACACCATATACGAGATTTCTAATTAATCCGTAGTATATACTCCCTCCGGTTCTTATTAAAGTTCCCACTTTCCTTTTTGGGACGTCCCTTATTTAAGTTCACACTTCCATTTTAGGAAACAAAACAGTGCAAAACATTGTCAAACAGTGTCTAAACAGTGCCAAACAGTGCACTCCACAGTAAAGTCAAATTCATTTTCTTAATATGTGTGAAGTCAAACTGGGAACTTAAATAAGAACCGGAGGGAGTATTCGGTTTACGTGAGTTAGATCGGTACAAAAACGGGTTCGGGCCCGGCTCGGTCCGGGCTTTTTATAAATTTTCTGTCCATCATGTGTGGGCGGGCCCGGCCCAGTCCGCAAAAATGGACCTAACCCTATGTCCATACCTGCCCATAAGAGTGGGCCGGATAGTCCACCGGGCCGCCCGGCCCAGGAATACTTAATTTTTTCAAAATTATATGATTTTTTAAATACTTTAAAAATAATATTACAACATTTAGAAAATAATTAATATGCTTATAATGTTTATACGTCTTTCACCACTATACAAAAAAAATACTTGCACAAAAATAATAATGAGAAACTATATCTAAAATTTAAAATTTAATCACAAAGTATAATGTTGGGCTAGTTGTTAAGAACTAAAAATTTAAATTTAAACATAATAAACTATAAATATGTATAAAGAAAAATTAGTAAATATAAATATACGTGTATATGCAAATAAATAAATAAATAAATTAGTATATATATATATATATATATATATATATATATATATATATATATATATTTATATATACTAAATGTAGTGGGCCGGGCTTATCGACTCGAACGGGTCTACATCCTAACCCAAGCCCGTCCATATCTTATTGTGGGTCGGGGTCGGGCCGGCCCGGTGGGTAAATATATGTGCCCAAGCCCGCCCATTTGTGCGGGCGGGCTGGGCGGGCCGGCCTGGTTTTGTCCAGGTCTAACGTGAGTTATAACTTATAACTAGTATAGTACCCGTGCATCCGCATGGGTGAGGTATCATACATAATTGTATTTGATATAATGAAACGTAAGTATTAAGAAATGATGAAATGATATAGAGCCCGTTTGGTAGCATGAAAATCGGCTGATTTGGTTGATCCTGCTGAAATTTATGAAGTTCTGGCTGAAGTGGTTGTATTAGTTGATTCTGCTAATTTAAGAAAAAAATATTTTCAAAATATATTTTATTAATAAAATAAAGGAAAAATTATATGTAAAAATAGCTAAAATGATCATCTACAGTAACTGTAACTTCAGCCAATACAGCCAGAAAAGTAACTTCAACCTTACTTTTTCTGCTTATTACACAATTCAGCGCGCAAAAGTAAAAGTTACGTGTTTGGTGAAAAAGTTGGCTGATAAGCCTGATAAGCTGAAAAATAGTGCTGACAAACAGCCTCATAGTTATGTGTAGTAATTAAAGCACTCTATATAGAGTTATTGTAAAAGGTAAATGAACCTTGTTAAGATGAAATTGTTGCCCTTTTTTATAAAAAGTGAAATCTGAAGTAAGTGGTTACATAACCGTCTTCTAGCTAACGAAAGGTTGCAACGAAATACTAAAACATCAACACATTTTAGAATTGAATATTTGATTCAATAATTTGATTTTATGCAATCCATATGAATCTATATTAACAAAAAAAGTAAATCCCTTATGTAGTTTGTTTACTTGACAACGGTCTCGAAATTATAGTAAAAGCATAAATGTCATAGGTTTTGAAAAACCTCTTTGAACACAACATTTGTGGTGGTATCTAATGGTTTTCCCGCCTTGTTGTGTATCAAGATCTTCAGTCCATTTTTGTTTTGAGCCCTTGATAAAGCGACATACAATTGTCCATGACTAAAAACAGGTCTTGACAAATATACTCCAACGTTTGCTAGCGATTGTCCTTGAGATTTGTTGATAGTCATGGCGTATAAAACAACAATTGGGAATTGTCTCCTAATAAGTTTGAAAGGCCATGGTGATTGGGAAGGAGACATACACATGCGAGGAATGTAAATCTCATTCTCCATGTTGTTAGCAGACATTGTTTTTGCGCCGATAACATGATTGCCTAATCTTGTGACAATTAATCTTGTTCCATTGCACAATCCTTCAAAATGGTCTATGTTTCTTAACAACATGATTGGAGTTCCTATTTGAACTTTATTTTTGGATTAGGAAGTCCGGATGTTCGTAGGGAATGTAAGAATTCAGGTGTCAGCGCCTCAAATGCGTCCGCATCAACAATATCTTATTTGTCTACAGAATCAGAACTCATATATTCTCTTTCTTCGCCTACAGTCAATATTTGTGTAAACTTTAAGTACGAATTTAGATGCAATTATCGATGTGGGAGTAAAGAAATAAATTTAAATGTGATGATATACCTGGGAGCAAGGAAAGTATGTACTCGTTGATATCATCAACAATTTCAGAGGTTGTTGCCAAAATAGTTCTACACTTTAGATATTCCTTGTTTTTGAATTGTTGTAGTATGTTAGGTTATGTACTTTCAACAATGCCATGAATTGGGTCGTCATAATCTGTTATCAAAAATTCATTTGGAATCTGTATGATCGCATAACCATCATTTGGTTCAGATATCTTCTCATCTTCCACATCTAACACCCACTTTGAAAAGTCTTGAATGTCTTTAATATCTGTAGTATCCTTACTACTTTGAAGGCGCATATTTTTTGTAAGACATAGTACCTGAACACAAAACAACATTTAAATATAATTTGTTACTCACATATTATAATATAATAATAAGTTATTATGAATTAGGTCTTGTGCTTTTTAAGTGTATAAGTTGTTGATTTAAATGTAATAAATTAGTTTTTTTAAAAGATGTAATTGATGGAAATGATGTCTGACCTGACAATTATCCCACGCATATGAGGCATTAATAGTGGCGTTAATAATTTCTAAACGACTTCCTCTTGGTATTACTGGTAAAGTTTGTCTAAAGTCTCCTCCAAAGACAACTACTTTAACTTTCCTCCAAAATGACAATCTGAATCATCTTCAATATTCATGATCTTTTAAACTCCTGTCCAATGCTTCGAAACAATACCTATGAGCCATTGTTGCTTCATCCCAAATTATCAAACTTGTTTGTTTCAACAACTCTGCAAGCTCACTTCCTCGATGAATATTGCAAGTGGAGTTTTCAAGTGTAGGAACGGGTATGGCAAATTTTGAGTGTGCAGTTCTTCCACCTGGTAATAATAAAGACGCAATGCCACTTGATGCATGCAACAGTTAAAACAATATAGCGTTTTGAACAAATAGTAGAAGCTAATGTTCGCCATATATAGGTTTTTCCTGTACCACCATACCCATATATGAAGTAGATTCCACCTTTTTGGTCATTGACATCTTTCATGATAGTCTCAAAAATAAACTTTTGCTCATCTGCACTGTATTAATGTTAGGAATAACATTTGAAGTAATTATTTTTACAAATCGGAAGATATTATTGTTCAGACCAATAATTATTTTACCCGTGAGAGATGAAAATAAACTCTGAAACTCTTCTTCTAAGTTGCAAATGTCATAGTCACGTTCCGCATAAATGAGTCTATTTCCTAACTGTTGTGTAATATATCCCTTTGGGAACGGGATAGAAGGAAAGTCTTTAAGACTTTTTCTTTTTGTTTGAAAAATTTTCTCGATCTCAATAAGAGTTAAATTATGCAGTTCTTCATATGTAAGTTGTAAGTCTAGAACAAAAAAAACAAAGTATTAAGTTTAATGACCAACACCTAATATCATTTAATTTTAATTTCTATGCACACGAAATTAATGTTTTTTGAGCAAGATTGTTGAATTTAGTATTTAATATTTGGAGTCGATCAATGATTTATATCATGGTAAATGTGGTTTGGGAAATTTGGTTCTAATACCATGTGATTATAAGCGTATATGTTATAGTTTTATTTATTTATTAAGGTTAGTATAAATACATAAAATGTTTGCGACTACGTTGGTATTTTAAGTTGATTTAATAATATATATTGTAATTGTGGATTATATGTAGGTGTTACTTCAGATGTATATTAAATATTGAGAATACTATCATGAATTGTTGAAAGAGAAAATAAGCAAATCTAGGATATTTGACAATCTTCTCTGGTTATAGAGAATTCCATCCGTCAACCATTGCCATGTTTGCTCCCATACATGCTTAGGTCTACTAACGGTGCATGACAATAGCATTGTGACAAACAATATTCTAAAGTAGTGCCCAGATGCTCAATCCTTAACTTCTTTTAATGCTTCAATATATTCTTTGTCATCCCCAAGCATTCCTAGTGCATAGCATGCTTCTCTGAATGTAGGATATATGATGTTGGCAACCGTTCTTATGTCTTCATAGGAGCAAGGTCCTTTTATAACTGTTAGCAGCAATCGTAGGTAGAACAATTCCCCCGTGGTTGGTGGTACCCAAATCAGTCTCCCAATAGTGTAACCTTTTGTCCTTGGTTTCCAACATCTTTTCCTAGCAACATATACAAATTTCGTAATGAATTTTGCATATGTAAGTTCCTTCCTTTCTGGATTGATTTTGTTTGCTTGCATCCAAGACGTAAACATCGATTCTTTGACAGTATTATTAGTTAAAATTGAACCGAGATTATCATTATCACTGAAGAACACAGATTGCTCATCTGGTAGGTGAAAGTAAAGTCTTTCTATGACTGGAGATCTTCCATGAATTGGGAAAGCAAAAATTCTCCAACATGCTTCGCATGGTGATACATACCTATAATCGAGATATTGCTTGATCTCATCTATAGTATCGACTTGAGACAACTCTTCACCTTGTGTGGGAACAATAACAGCTGTAATTCGATCATAACCTTTGTGGCTTTGTTGATATACTTGAATAAGTATTTTATTGAAGTACTCTAATTACACCATTCTGTGTTAATATGGGCACAATACTTCAGCAACAATATTGGGTTATAAGGAACAACATGTCGATTGTCTAAAGGAACATTATTTTTTTCAACTGAAATCCCCTGGTCTCTTCTTCTGTAAACAGGATAACCATCTTCATCAAGTGTTGTTGAGTTTTGAAATTGCTTAGGGTAATACATGTTGCACTTTCCATCCTGCATGCATGGTGATGATGGGTCAGCTAATCCACATGGACCATGTAGCATGTGGGTCGTTACTAAATTGTAAAGTTCTAGATCACATTCAGGATTGGGTATCTCCGCTGAAATTATTTTGTCAATGTCATCGACAGTCGGGTGTAAGAAGATTGGTATGTGAGCATGCGGTAAACCTCTTTTTTGAAACTCAATAGTGTACATATCTGAAAGAAGATTGTTAAGACAAAATATAGACAATTATGTTAGATAGTATTTGAAAATGAATAGAGAATAAAAATATATTGTACATCAAAGAAATGTAGACACATTTTATGTGTAAATTGAAGCTTACATGCAACAACTTTTCCAAAGAGTTCCCTTTTTCGCAAATCTATGATGAGCTCATCAAGTTTGATTTTAAAAACCTTAGAAACTATATCAGGGCGATCATGTGGACGCAAATTAATTGGTCCGAGTATTCTTTGGATTTCAGGCCACATGGGGTTGCAGGTGAATGTGATAAATAAATCAGGGAAACCAACATAGCCACAAATTGCCATACCATCAAAATAAAGTTGATCCATGTATCGACGACTACCTACAAATGTGGAAGGCAACATGATTCTTCTTCCCTTTTCAAATGCTTGACATTGTGAATCAGCCATTGATCTATTTAAATTATTGTATTTGTCAACTCTTAGCTTTGTTTGGTTTCTTCTTATGAAAGATAGTCTCTCTGATTCGAGCATTGTGTATCCGTCAACGACAAACTGCTGAAATAATCGCCTAGACCTCAACAAAGTTTGTGCTACTTCTTTTCGGGTCTGAAGTCTATAGCAAAACCATTCTCTTATAGTAAGTCGATTTCTTTTGTAGGCTTTAGAAGTACCTGTATCTCTATGTAGTACATCATGCCTATACCCATCCTCACCATAAATAAACAAAAGTGGATATTGGAAGCTTAGATAGCTAGTATGCAACTCACTGATCCGCTGAAGTGTGTGGCTTCATGTCTCCATTATGATATCCCTCGTCGATGATGAGTCTACATCACCAAAAATAAGTGCAGCAACTTCTGAAATGGTTGGTAAATTGTATATTCTACCATCACTAACCTTATCAGAAATCAATTTTAGTCGAAGGTGTTGCATTGTTCCATCCTCTAATCGCTCTTAGCCATCCTAAATGATTTTGCATGAACATTATGTTCATTAATCATATCTGATAACTTGCAAACAATATTTTCATCTATTTATTTTGATTTCTACAAATTAAATAAAAAACGAATAGTGGTTAGATACTATTAACAAAATATGTGATAAGTAGGAGTGTAAATATAATTTAGTAGCTTGTGATTGAACCTTAGTCCCTGTATTCTATTTTGTATCTCGTGTTTAGTATCATAGATGTAAAGTTGCGCAAACTTTGGAGGATGACCAGGCATATGCATCATGCTTCCTATTCGATGACAGGTTTGTCCCTGTATTTTGAAACTTGGTGGACCTCTACCGTCACTAACAGACTTATCAATTTTTGCACCGGGTGATGTGAATGCAAACATCATGTTGTAGACTCTAATGTTGTCTTGATAATTTTTACTTTCACGATCACCATTATCAAAAAGTAGATGTTGAAGTAGGATTGGAGGATCTTTCAAGAATGGCAATTGAACTTTCCCACTTCCACAACAAAGATGGTACTTAGGACTTGCGGAGTCTTTGTGTTTATGTGATCTTTCTTGGTACCACATACATGCTTTACATTTCTCATACTCTATGAGAGGATCTCCGATGTCAAAATACCCTGCAATATTATATTTTTTATGTAACATGAAATGATGATTATGAGTATTGAAAGAAATCGGAAATTTAATTTGTCGAAACCTTGAGTGCAATTAATATCTGAGTTAGTAGTGTCGCTAGGATATGGCGGTTCTTCATCAGAACTGGAATTTTCATAATTATGTGATCCTAGTACACAAAAATAGTCATATACTATTGTTAATAATGCAAAGTTTATTTGTGTTATATTATATCTTACTTACCTCAAGATGTGTTCAATTCAATATCTGAGTAACTTTGTTCATCTTGTTTTCCATCATAGGTGTCATTGATGAAGTCACTCTGCATGGATGGACAATGACTGTGTTGGCTTAACATGCATGTATTTGAAGTTGGTGTAGTGGAAGTTGATGTGCAAGGATTGCCTGCACAAAATCTAGTAATTACACGTTCATCATAGAATATTTTTTTGACAATGTAAAAGAATTATAAAGGTGTGGTCATACTATCTGCTCTTTGTGTAAGATGTTGAATTGTATTGGTGTGATTATTAACTATATTAGATGTTGACGTATCTATTGTAATGTGTTAACATGTTCAAATATATCTAAAATTTTGTAGTAACAAAAGTATCAATAATTAAAAATTCAATGATAACAAATACTTAGATATACCATAATTTAGTCATTGATGAACACTTAGGTATACCATGATTTAGTGACTGATGCAAGGTCTCTTTTGGGGTTTTATCATTTACATCTTGACGCTTTTTCTTTAGTATAGCATTTCTCATAAACCTTGCTTCTGATGCTGCACGTCTCTTCAGTTGTTGGTCATGGCAGCTGTAGAATATAAAGAGAATAAGAGAATGACTTTTTTATGATTTTAAGTTGAGGTTTAATAGTAAATAATTGTATTGCTAGTGTCACTAAACCTATTATTTGTGTAATTGCATTCCAAGAATGGATTAAGTAGGGAGTTAAATGTGTATCCCCCAACAGCAGTGTTTGAGAAAGGCGATGGTGTTACGTATTAGTTAAAACTGGTAAGATGTGACATGGTAATTGGTGATGGTGTTATGTAAAATACGTTTGAGTGAGTTTACTGCTATCGGTAGTGTGACTTGAGCCTTCTATCTGAGTACTGCAGCTAATATGTTTGAAATGTTTGGCATGCAATATAGCTTTCCTTTTGGAACGCGCTTCCTTTGCTAATTCCTTGGAGTATTCATGCTTATAGAATAGGAAATAGTTTGAAGAATTAAGAAAACATAAAACATAAAGTAGAATACTATTACTACGTACTCCGTATTTGTTATATAATGGGTATACCTTATATTTTGTGATGTACAACAATGTGTATATGCTTCTGGAGCACTATTTGCATTCACACTCATATATGGTGTAGAAGAGTTGAGGCTAGCTTTACTAGAATCTAATTAAAGTTTGTCAGGCATGAAAGAAAAATGTAATTATTTCATTAAATTAAATCATGAGTGAATTGTAGAAAAATAATCGTTATTTATGCTTAGATCAATATAAGGTAAATATTGAAGTTATTACCCCAAGTGTAATGTGTAGCTGCCTTTTTATTTTTTGTTTGTAAGAGACATTTTCGTTTGGCACGTGCTTCCGCTGTGGAAGCCATGTCCATGTTGAGATCAATTAATTTTAAATCAATTAATTATCAATTAATTTTAAATCAGCCAAGAATAACAAAGTAAATATTGGCTAAAAAGTATGTACATTTATCCTACGTATACAAACACATATCCTTGAAACTTTATTATTCCTAAACTCTTAAAAATTTTATTTATTTAATCCTTAGGACTCCTTTATTCCCTATTTTCGGCTAATTATTATTATTATTATTATTATTTAATTATTATTATTATTATTATTATTATTATTCTTTCATGTATATGTATTTTTTGTGATTAGAATTTAAGATGGTGTTTTCGATCCCTTGTAGATCTATTTGAAATTACAAATTTTACGTTTTATTTTGAACTTGTGTGTGCTATTGAATCAATAGAACTCAATTAGACAGTATGGCTGCAAAACATACATGGTAACATGGAGGAGATGTACGATAGTTCATTGGAGTTTGTGAGACGTGTACCTGTTAAGTCGACGTAGAATTATGGATGTTGTCTTTGGGATGAAGTTAGCAACTGCCTTGACATTTTTTTATATGGCACTAAAAAAATATAAGAAACGATTAATACTAATAGATGCGAATAGTTACAACAGGATGACACACAGGACATGGTACGTTACTACATGTCTTAGGAAACTAAATTCGTTTAATAAATATATAGGCAGTGACATTTAATGTAGTAGTATTTTTTTTTTTTGAGCTTTTAGAAATTCCGTTTTGTGTTTCATAATGTAAAAGTATCATGAAGTGACTTCTTTTAAGATGTTTTTAATTGAGTATAATTTCTGATTTACTCTGATTTCTTTATGTCCAAGTTGGCATGATCTAGTCCGGCCTTGGTTTGTTTGTCATACTGTATGTTTTATAACTTTCGAAGTATGATTTTGTTTGGTCTGATCGGTCTGATCCGACCTAATTTATTATGATATGTCCAAGTTTTTTTGTTTACAAATCATATAACTGTAAACCTTACATTATACAAAGTTTTTCGTTTGTTGGTTCTTTATTTTTTCTTCAGTTACTTGTGTATGTCTATTTATTTTTTTGTTACTTTTTTCATTTTTTTCGTCTTCGCCATATTAGAAGTCATTGTTTCTTTGTCTTCCTCCATTTTCACTCGAATATGTTTTAGTTATTCTTGGACCGGTTACGGACTTTTGAAGATTATTATTAGAGAACAATTCTAATAATATTACTGAACCGTTTACTTGGACCAGTAATGTTTTCATACTATTTTTGTAACATTCAAGGAAAAACTTGAATAAACATAATGTTACAATTTTGGGAGATATATAGTATCAATTAATATGTGGCTGCGATATGTTCCACTGAGTACTTTTTTATGAATAAAAACAAATCTTTAGTCAGGATAAATACCAAAGAACATAGATAGGTGAACCTGGATCCTGCTCTACTTTTGAATGAGTCTGAAATGTATAATTATAAATAAGCCGTTGTGAGCATATGAAACACCCAACAATATATCAATTCTTACTCACAATATATGCTTGTAAGAGTAGTTTTTAACGTACTACTTGTTAACGATAACACAATGTACAAAGTAAAACTTTTGAAGTCAATAAGACAAAGAATAACACATTCATAAGTAAAAGTGCCTTAATGTGGTAATTAACTTTTGAAGCAAGTTTCCAGGTCACTTTACTGTCATTAATGTCTTCTATGTTGTTGAATTTTCGTGCCATTTTGCTTCACCTAAATGTGTCATACTGTGGTAATTAATTTATTTAGTTCAGGAAATGAAATCATGTGATGGCAAATTTAAAGGCAAACATAATGTTGAGTATGCAAACATGCATCATTAAAGAAAAACATTAAAAGATGTAATGTTCATTTAATAAAATTATCTTAACAACAAAAGGTGCCTTTACAATTACATCTGCCTTTTGTTTATCGTACCAACTGAAACTAATTTATTTTCAGTTCATGAATTGTATTTAAGTGAATCGTATTTTAAAAGGAAATAACAATGATCTTATTTGTGAGCTTTGACAAATTTTAATCCTTTTACAGGAATTATTTCAAAAAACAAACTTTGTGCAAAGTTATCGTTTGCATTTCTACCCATCAAAAGCAGCAAAACTTTATTGAAGTGCATATTGTCTCACCCTAAAGTAGGGCATGGAATTATGTATACAAAAATTAATAGTGTGTTAATTATGAAGAGAAGTAAACAAAAAAGGACAGGTCCACAATTGAAAGAGAGAAGCCATAAAACAATATAATCTGTGTGTACATCGAATTCTCCATTCAGTTTAATTTGTGCTAATAGTGGCTACAAACTGTGTGATTACTCTGGTAGGTTAAAGTAACTAATCATTCTTTCATCATTTGAACAGAAAATATAACATACGTGTTTTGGTGATGGGAGATTTATTTCTTATATATCTGACTCAAAATTAGAACTTTTTCTCATACAAACATTTCGTCGAACACCTTATATGCAATATAAGGTAGTTCATGGCAACTTGGTTTTAAATCGTAGGAGAGGTTCAATTTATATCAAGAATTCAGACTAAAAATGCATGAATGACATACAAAAACAATACATTAGCATTTCTACTACAACCAACAATTTTATGCTGCAGAGCAATTTTAGAAACAAGCTACATATAGAACTAAACACATCTTTAATGTAATGATAAAGTAGAAATGCAGTTTAATACTTACAATAGCCGGTCTTCAAGGTCTGCCTATATTCGGGGTTTGATGGTTGTGTTTGTTAGTGCAAATCAGTGAAGAGGGGGCGCAACTTTGAAGTCTTGGCGGTTGGAATATCAGGAGGAAGGATGCGATGAAATAGAGGAAGGATGCGGTGAAATAAATTTTGGGGAGTAATTTCATTTTTGAATTGTGAAGGCGATTGTTGATGAGAGACGCGTAAGGAGAATTTCCGGAAGCAGCGGCTTAGATGACAAGTCGGCCTGATATACCCTGCGGAAAGAAATAGAATTAAAGATAGCGAAGGAGGGAGAGGTAGTTATAGTTTATTTTTCTCCGCCGAGAAGCTACATGTGTTTGCCAAAATCGTTGGTGCTACTGGAGCGTCGCCTAGTCGTCTGAAGTGGAAAAACATTTTTGCCCAGACAAGTTAGAGTGTAGGTGATTTTAGTATCACCAGGTTCATTTTAGTGTAATGGAATTTACAAATTACTAATGGAGTTCAAGTTTAATTTTAGACAAGTTAGGAGGTGCGGAGCGCACACTTGTACGAAATTAAATTTAAACTTGGTTCGATTAAATGGCGGGGTCAAGGGGGTTGCGCACCCTTGCGGGGTCCAAGGGGCAGCGCCCCTGGCGGGGGTCTCGCTGCCCGGTCAGCGAGCGGGGTCGAGGGAGACCGCCCTCGCGGGGCTCGGGGCAGCGCCCCGGACCAAAATTTTATTTTATTAAAGAAATAAATATGGAAATTTATTTTCGGATAAACATGTCCATATTAATTATTTAATAGAATGACTTTCTGTTAGAGTAAAACTCTAACTGATTGGCCTTATCTCTTTGGTAATCAGAAGAATTCGAGTTCTACTAAAACTGCTAGTTCGTGGTCTATATATTGGTGCATCAGTTTTAGACTGTCTCTTAGAGTGATTATCCTCATAATCTAAATTTCGTGTAACCCAGGCATAGGGTCGAAATATTAGATTCGGAAAGTGATCACACGATACTCTGAGAAATCCGCCAGATTTTCTAAAACAGTTTCCCAACTCCCCAACTTTAACATAGAGAAGGGAGGTTTAGATGAGGATCTTCCGTTGGAAGAACCTTGGCCTGCAACAACACAAAACATTTAATGTAGTAGTATTTCTTTTGTGGAGTTTTTGCCACTTTTAGTCCCTCGACTATTGTGTGAGTGACACTTTTGATACTCGACTTTTAATTTTTCCATTTTTAGTCCTCGACTATAGTGCGAGAGACACTTTTGGTACCCGACTTTAAAAATTTTTGTATTTAGTCCTTCGACTTTTGTAAAAGTGACACTTTTGGTCCTTCAACTATTACAATAGTGACATTTTTAGTCCTTCACTTATTGTGTCAAAATCATAGTAGAAGGACTAAAATTGTCAATTTGATAAAACTCAAAGGACTAAATGTGGGAAAATTGAAAGTCGGGGACTAAAAGTGTCTCTCTCACAATAGCCGATGACTAAAAATGGAAAAATTAAAAATCGAGTACCAAAAGTGTCACTAATACAATAGTTGGGGGACCAAAAGTGACAAAAACTCTTCTTTTGTGAGTATTTAGAAATGTCGTTTTGTGTTTGATAATGAAAAATATTACTCCCTCCGTCCCATATTTATCTTCACAAGTACAATTGGCACACATATTAAAATAGTGAGAAATGTATGGTGGAGAGTTGTGCAGAGGAAAGAGAAATGTGTAAGAATGGTTGTGAACCGCAAATTCTTTACTAAAAAGGGAAAGAGGAGATAAATTTGGGACGGACCGAAAAGGAAAGTATGAAGATAATTCCGGGACGGAGGGAGTATGAAGTAACTTCATTTGAGATGTTTTAATTGACTATAATTTTATGATTTACTCTGATTTGTTTAAGTCCAACTTGGTCTGATCTAGCTCGGCCTGGGTTTGTTTGTCGTACTGTATGTTTTAGAACTTTCGAAGTATGATTTTGTTTGGTCCGATCAGTCTGATCCGACCTAATTCATTATGATATGGCCAAGTTTTTTCTGATCAGGTATGACTTCATATAGTTTGGTATTCAAATCGATCAAATAAAATACATCCTTAGCTTAAGATGTTTTTAATTGACTATAATTATATGATATACTCTGATTTATTTAAATCCAAGTTGGTCTGATCTAGTCCGGTGTGGGTTTGTATGTCATACTGTATGTTTTAGAACTTTCGAAGTACGATTTTGTTTGGTCTAATAAGTCTGATCCAACCTAATTCATTATGATATGTTCAACTTGGTCTGATCGAAACAAGGCATTTTCCGGAGGAGTGTAATGACAAAATCATAGTATTAATCCGAAAAAAGTATCATATGAGGGATTGGATGCCAATTGCCCACTGTAATGCTGCGTAAAAGATTTTTGCTAAAGTCTTAGCAAACCGATTAAAAGGGTTATTAGGGATAATTGTAGCATAAAATTAAAGTGTTTTTATTCCCGGGAGATCTATTTTGCATAATATCATTGTGGCTTTTGAAGTTCAACATTTCCTGAAGAGGAGGACTAGAGGGAAAGAAGGATATGTTGCTCTAAAGCTGGATATGAGCAAAGCCTATGAATCTATGACAGGGTAGAATGATATTTTTGGGAAAAATATCATGTCATGGTTAGGTTTTCATGCACGCTGGATCAATATTGTCATGCAATGTGATAACATGGTGAGGTACCATGTTCAGGCTAATGGTGAGTTACTTGGGTTGATTATTCCTTCTAACGAGTTGAGACAGGGTGATCCGTTGTCATGATATTTGTTTATTTTGGTGGCTGAAGGTATTAGTGAATTACTAATGGAGAAGGAAAATGGTGGTTATATGCAGGGGATATAACGAGTAGGAAGAGGAGCACCAGCAGTCCTCGTCTCCTTTTTGCTAATGACGGTTTTTTTCTTTTTAGGGCAACTGAGACCGATTGCTTTGTGGTTAAGGAGATTTTAACTTCTTATTTTATGTTTCAGGCCAATTGATTAAATTCGTGAAGTCAAGTGTGTGGTTCAGTGCAAATGTGGCATGAGATGATATAAATTATCTAAGTGGTATTTTGGGGGTCCAGGAAGATAGATGAGGTAAATATTCGAGTTTGCCATCGACGGTAGGACGTGATAAAATAGAGATCTATGGTTACATCAAAGAAAAAGTTATTCAGAGGATCTATAGGTGGAATTGCAGATTTTTATCGAAGGCAGGGCAATAAGTTTTGATTAACACAATGATTCAAGTCATGCCTCGGTATCCAATGAATGTATTTTTGTTACCGGTTGGCTTGTGTAATGAGATAGAGAGGGTGATGAATGTTTTCTGGTGGACAGACCATGTGTACAAAGGAAATGGCATTAACTAGAAGAGATGGAGAGATCTTTGTATACCTAAAAATAAAGGAGGTATGAGATTTAGAAGACTTTGATATTTTAACATAGCCAGGCTAGGTAAGCAGGTGTGGAGATTGCTAAGGAATCAAAATTCTTTAGTTGGCAGTATGCTCAAGGCTCGCTACTTAACTCAGCGACATTCTGAACGCTAAATGTGGGAGTAACCCTTCTCTCATTTGATGGAGTATCACCGAGGCTATATATACTAGCGATTCAGAAGGAATTAAGGTTTCGAATTGGGAATGGTGAGACTACTCCGGTGTGGAAGAATGACTGGTTAATCACACAACAGGGTGGTAGACCCGCAAATAATGTCACTCACGGTTTGGAGGGTATCTGAGTTTGCTCGCTGATGACCGATGATGGGAAAGAGTGGGACCATGACATTATAGTGGACTTGTTTAGTAAAGAAGATGTGGAGCTCATTTTGAGCATTCCTCTATAGGAGGGAAGTGGAGGAATGAGCAAATTTGGGTAGGTGATGACAAAGGTATACATTCAGTCAGGGTCTGTTATTGAATGATGACTAGATGCGACCTACCTAAGGTGGCATGGGCTAGGATATGGAAGCTCACATTGCAGTCAAAGGTTTTTTTTTATTACAGGCTTGTATGGATTGTCTTCCTACTAAACAACGGTTGGTGCAAAGGAGAGTTCCAGTTTGACCAGTTTGTTCTCATTGTGGGCATAATGAGTAGAGTGTTATGCAGGTGTTGATAGATTACTCTTTGACTAAGGAAGTGTGGTGAAATTCGGGCAAGAGCTTTCTTTACCCTATAGTTACCAATTTTTTAGAGTGGATAAATAATTTGTGCATCAATTATTCTGAAGATGATATTTGTCTTTTTGCTACTTTCTATTGGAGCCTGTGGAAGGCAATAAATAAGAAAATATGAAAGAATCTTACTGATAATTGGAGGGGGTTGTAGCTTGTGGGGAAGCAATGTTGGGTGGCTAGAAGGTAGCCCAAGTCAAGAAAGAATGAGCAGTGGAAGAGACCAAAGCCGGGTTAGGTTAAGATCAATGTGGATGCGGTTGTTCAGAGTGATGGTGATAGAAGAAGCCTGAGTTTAATTTCCCGAGATGATAGATGGGTCTTTGTGTATGGTAGATGCATGTGAAAGAGAGGGTTTTCACGCCAAACACTACATAAACTATGGCAATAGAGGAGGCGGTCAACTGGGCGATTGATTCAAGATCGCAAAGAGTGGTTGTTCAGTCAAAAGTTCAACAAGTTGTGAAAGGAATAGCCTACATGGAGGGACTACATTATAATGATGTTATTTTTAAGGATATTAGACACATGATGGCAGATTTTGCTAATATTGTTGTCCATTTTGTGCATCGATCAGTGAACTAGGTTGCTAATGCATTTGCAAGGGAAGCTGGTTCATGGACTGATGGTACTTGCGTGGGATCTCCCCCCTAATTGTATTCTTCATGTACTGCAAGTTGATGATTATTAATTATGTTTTTTTTTTTGCCAAAAAAATGTTACAATTGTAGTTGATGTGATTATAATTTTAAACCAAACTTAAAGATATTATATCAAATCAGATTTAAACTAGCTATTATACCATGTGAGCAACCCATGGAGACCATCATACTTCTAACCTAAAACATCGTCATTTAGGTTAAGCTTTAATTAAAAAGCGTGCATGAGCACTAACCATTTTTTGTCTCAACGTTTTTGGAATTCTTGATGTAAATCATGTGTATCGAAATATAACTAGCGTTACCACGAAATGTAATATCAGGTGGTGACAAATATAACTCATTCACTTCAAGCAGTGGTGGACCCAGAAGTTTTCTAAAACGGGGGCACTGCCGCATGGATGGGAACAGATAGGGTCAGATCGGATGTACCATTGCTCTATTTTGTCTAATTCGTTCATATATTATTATTTTTAACCGTAAATAGATTGTTTAATGGCGGTTTTAAGCAATGGACATT